ATGGAAAATGCAACCACTCGGCCTCTTGTGCAGTTTCAATTGGGTTTCAGAACTATATACTTCCCCAGGCTCCGCTGATGCTCGCTCTTCTTGAGAAGAATCTGCGTTGGGACGTTCCCCTGTTAAGCCGAAAAAATAGCGAAGCATGACAGATATATTGTCCCGCTAAACGCATAAGGGAATACTGCTAACATTATTCTTATCCGTTGTTGGTTAGACTTCAAGTTTACTTACAGTATTTTTACTTGTATGGGTGCCAGCGTTGTTTCCCCCTGCGTTCGTTTAGCCGCTTTTTCCGCGGCATTGGATCTTGCCCACGTGGATCAGGAGAAGCGGGAAATAAGGAAGGCACGGCTGTGGGCTTCAACATCTTCCTTTTCGTCACTGTTCTGTAATCTTCAGCGGTAAAATGCAGGCTGCATACCTTCGACCGGTCGCTGGGCTCCCAGCGATGCTTTCCTGAACCTTCATCAAAGGTAAAGGCGTATACGCATGGCTAGCAAGATTGCAAAATAAAGTCCATAACACCTTTTTTGTAAGTAATTTTTCCAAAATGTAACAAGCCAAATGGGGAGGTTAAGAAAAGCATAGCCACGATTTTATTCTGGGGAAGTACCTGTATACCATTTAGGTGCATTTTCATATTTTCTCGCAGCCTTTGTAAATGTCTTTTTAGATGACTACATTCGTCGATTGATGTTTAGTGATGGTACGTGGTCGAGTCCAGTGGCATACTGAAGCCCTTTATTCGAGAGCTCATTGGCTATACAAGGTTTCATAACAAAGCTGAATTTCCTAATGGCTGCTCAGTAACGAAGCGCGACCCAATACGACAGAGCCGAAACCGAGGCGCACTTGAGCGCCTTGGTCTTGGTTTAGAGCGCAAACCTCTAACCTGTACAATGACTCCGCCGTTGACGACGATGACTTCAGTGGTTTTTGTTCTTTGCATTCTCCAAAACGAATCTTTGTCATGCATGATGTAATCTCAGATGCAGCACGCACATAAATAGAGTATCTGTCGCTGATTATTCCAGGTTCCTCATTTCGGTTTCACCGGCTGGGTCTCTTAACCCTCACAGAGCCGATGGGCTCATTGCACGAAGGACTTCAATTATGTCATTATACCCGACCGCCTGCCAGCCCTATATAGAGTGAACAGTTAATCGCCACATTTCGTTACCGCGTAACGTTTCTAATTACCTTAAGTAAGCTTATACAGAACGAACAAAGCTGTATGGGAAGATAGAGGTTTGAGATGAGAAATACATTTGACCAAATTCGGTCGCTAACTTCAGTGACACCCCAGTGTTCAAGAGTTGTCCATCGCTAAACACACACACACACACACACACACACACACCACACACACACACACACACACACACAGAGAGACAAACTGTGGAGGCAGCACGTAAATATTTCATATCATTAATTTTTTATGGATTTCGGCGGCATTTGTTGAGGCAGCCTTCGGGAAGGGTGCTCGAACCCCTCGCAACCCACCGCTACGCATTTTTACATAATTACAGATTTCGTATATTTACTTTTTTCTTGTGTGCTATATTTAAATTTCTTGGCACTATTTGTGGAGCCTGCCATATTAGCCGCGGTACTTTAAAAAAGCTTTCATGTTTTTTAGCTCAGTGAATTAGCATAACACACGGAAATAAAGTTTACTAAAGCACCCTGGTGCTTCTTGCTAGCTTGCAACTCGTTCTGAATTGAAACGACTCTCAAAAACACAAGACTCACCTTTCTTCCAATTGCCTCGATCCATTCTTCCCGTATGTCTGTGGCAGGAAACTCGTGAAAACTTACTTTACTTTGTTTGCCTTGTTCCGATTTGCAATATGGCACGCAGCAATACACCATACTTACATTTGAGGTGTCAGCTCATCTAAAAAAAAAAAACTGCACGCGGCCACTATTAGAGCTGACTACTGCAGCTATCTGCCGTCTGCAAGTTTCTGCACACGACCTACTGTGTTTCTGCGTATCTTCTGCAATTTGTGTATGCGTATCGTCTGGAACCATCGTGATTCAGTGTGAACAATGAATGCCTAACAATAGTTTTTTTATCTCGTTGGACTACGTTTTCATTCAAGAAATATTTTCATAATAAATTTTCCTTCATTTGTAGAAAAGTTCCCGTCTGCTTGCCACTGTGACCCTTTGTGTGCTTTTTTTACGGTTCTATTTCTGCTTCAAACGTCCACACGAATGCAGCCAACTCTGACGAGGAATCATATCGCTTTATTTGCCATATTTTACACATTCATACACAATTCATGCACAATAAGAACGATTTGCACTGCCACAGCGATGGCTGAAGCAGACGACAGCGAACAGGTGCTGCCTAGCGCCACGCCGCTCGTAGGTGACGGCCCTAGCGGCAGAAGGTATGAACTAGAACGTGGGCGCTGGAAGAGGTGCTCTCTGGGCAGGTCAGGAGTGTAGTAGGTCATGGTTCAATGGCCCTACACAATTCTGACGTCATTAACATCAATGTTGTGTACTTTGACGGAGCCGCCAGATATATCGCAATAGTTTATAAATACTGTCGTTTCAATAAGCCTCAAAGTTAAGATTTAAATAAACTGTATTAATTTACAAAAAGTAGTTTTAAATCTTTGCACGAGGCAGTCACATTTTAAACGCGTACGCGCTCGAAGGTGTAGCGCGCGCAATTCAAAATTACTTCAGCCGCGTAAAGCACAAAGAATACATCTACATCTACAACATTCATCTTTACTGAAAACCACATGTTTATTAGCAAATTTAGGAACATTAATATTAGCGGTAGCACTCTAACTTACTTGAACGAACACGTCAAAGTTCTACTGTGGCAATAATAGATTATTTATCCTTGTGCATTTTGCTTACGATATCTTGGATTCGAATGTCTCTATATCTACGCTCGCTTAGTTTTTATACTTGACCATAAGGACCCTTTGATAAATGACATGGCAGATGCATTTGCGAAGGCCTTTACTGATAGTTTAGCTATTAGTATTTATATCTAAGTCAGGTTCCGAAATATTGGCTATAACTTTCGGAGGCAAATTGTAATGTGCATTCTTCACAACAACTCTAAGAAATACCCTGGGTTTTAACCACTCTGGAGGCCCTAAGGAAAGCACCTTATGTGACACACTAAGTCTTGCAAAATTATTTATCTACGCTATATTTTTGACATCGAGCTGTTCTGGCGTTCTCCCCTCCTGATAATAGAATGATAGAACATTTCTTGAACTCACGTCGACAATTCCCTGCATTGAGAAACCTATACCTAAAAACACCGTTAGCCACAACTGGGTTAAGTATAACTTCTCTAAATTTACTATCCCAATAGGTTCGCCGAGTGTTTGTTTTTAGGCTGTATTAAATTCACTCTTATCACGGAATCAAAGTTTCAACTTTAACCAATGTAGTCTGCGTGTGTGCGAATGTAGATTTTTTTTTTTCAGGAGTCCATACACCCCACGCCTTCTTTCTCTCTCTTGATAGCCAAATAGCAACTCTCAGCGGAAGGTATATGACAATTGACTTAAATTTTTTTAATAGCTCAAACACATTAATACCCGATTCTTACCTATCGCCCGTGTGGGTTTGAACCAACGACTTAAAAATTTGCATCTACATATCTTAGGTGGCGCACTGCTCTGGTGCGCGCTAGAGTTACTGTATATGCTACCTTTATACAGTAACTCTAGTGCGCGCGTCAAGGCGCTTTAGTGCGCGTGCACTAAAGCAGTATAAGTGTTCCAGCTGATGGGCTGCGTGCTTGGGCACTGCTTGGCGTTAGGACGTCGACCTAACGAGAGCACGTACAGACGAAGGGCTGCAGCTAGGGTGTACTGAAATAGGTAAGTACCCGCTGTGCTTTCATCTTGACAAATACTTTATTATTTCATGATTACGCATATCAATTGCTGCCCATTATGGCTACCATGTGCACTCTCATGAATTGTACAAATAAGTACAATATGTATTCGGTGAAGAAACAATAAACCATTGACGAACCAAATGAAAACATCCACTGACATTGATCGATATTCAATGTTGATGTCGCGAGTAAGAAACAAAAAAAGGAACAAAAAAGAAAGAGAGAAAGAAAACAAGAAAGAAAGAAAAGAAGAAAGGAAGGAGGAAAAAAAGAAAGGAAGAAAGGAAGGAGGAAAAAAAGAAAGGAAGAAAGAAAGAACGCGTGGTTAGATGTTCTTAGCTTGTAGCAATTAGCGCTTATTTGTTTGATACCTCAAGTATTCAGTACCTATATAATCAAGTCTAACGATAACTAAAACATTGATGTGCACAGATAGATAATCTTATTTTCACTTCATCGGCAAGTAACTGTATATTCGTACATCTTTGTTAAATGCACGGTAACAGACCGCTGTATACATACTCGTCTAATGCATGTCGACATTGTTCTAGAAGCATTCTTTTATGACATATTTTTTCTTGTCCTATTTGTGGCGTAACTGTAGCAAACTACTGGCAATTTGGTTTTAAAGAAAAAAAATCACTCTCCTTTGTCATTAGCAGACGAAAGTGCGAAACCGAAACTGACTGCCATTTTATTTTATTTCTTGCTCTGCGACCAAAAATGGCACCAAGTGCAGTAGCGCTCACTGCAATGTTTGTCCATCCTTTTATGCTGAATTTGTTATAAGCACCAACTCAATTGGAGAATAAATTACAGAAAAATAAAAGTTTCTCAGACAACCACGACGTTGATATAAAAACAGCATCAGTATGTAAGGCCATCTGCGGTTGATAATACTGATGATGGATTGTGGTCCTGCCCTTTGTAACGAGTAGGCAGCTCTCAACTGTCTTAACTAGAAAAAAAAACAGGAAAGAAAGAAAAGAAGGGATAGAGAAAAACAAAATGTGATACACACACATACACGCACTAACTACAGTTTGTGCTGCCCTCTGTGGATACGGATTTGCACTTCAACCTATGCACTTCCGCCACCGGTGTTCGAGCGGTTCCGGTTATTGCAGCATGCGTTTTCTTTGACGGCTGCGCTGACACGTTTTTTTTCATTAATGCGTCTCTCGCGAATGACCAGTATGGAGGTTGTTAACGCCGATTCTATCAACACCAATTTGGAAGCCATGCTGCGGGAAAACACCGATCTGTCGCCTGCAGTGGCTTCGTTGGAACTGCTACTCCAGTTCATCGAGAACGACGACTACACGACCATTCAAGGGATGGAAGGTAACCTCCAGAAGGTGATCAGAGGCATATGCACGGCCAAGTGTTCGATCACGTGCGTCAGGTCAGCGTGCGAGCTGTTCGTTCGTTTCGCTACGCGCACGGCGCTCGATTGCTCGATCGACGAATGCAAGAAGAAAATGTCGACCCGAGGCCGGACTTTCTTGGAGAAGATGCGCGCGGCGCGCTCGAAAATCGCCACGCTCGCCGCCCCTTTCGTGCAAGACCGCTCGACGATCCTGACGCATTCCTTCTCTCGCGTTGTGCGTGACACGCTATTCGCTGCGGCCGATGACCACAAGCATTTCACCGTCTACGTCACCGAATCGGCGCCCGATTACAGCGGCCGACAGCTGTACGAGGCGCTAGAGGAGAGAGGCATCAGCGTGACGCTCATACTGGACTCCGCTGTCGGCTACATTCTGGAAAAAGTGGACGTGGTGCTCCTGGGAGCTGAGGGAGTAGTCGAAAGCGGCGGCATCATCAACAAAATCGGCACTTACACCATGGCAATGTGCGCCAAAGAGAAGAACATCCCTATTTACGTGCTTGCCGAAAGCTTCAAGTTTGCCAGGAAGTATCCTCTGAACCAGAAAGACTTACCCGATGAGCTCAAGTACCCTTCGGACAGGCGCAATGGCTCCACCGATCTTTCCAAGGAGCACCCCATGATCGACTACACGCCACCTGCCTACATCACTCTTCTCTTCACGGACCTGGGAATTTTGACGCCGTCGGCAGTTAGCGATGAGCTTATAAAGCTGTACGTTTGAAAGTTCACTGAACCGGTCATCAAACACTGTCAGTAAACTCTGACACGTGCGAGACATGACAGTATACTGATGCAGCCTCCGCAGTGGTGCCCATTCTGTGTGAAGAGGAGTGTAACAATCATATTGGTTGACATGATGGTGTCGTCAAGTTGAGATCATCATCATGCAAGCTCAGTGAAGTGTGTTACGAGACGTCTGTTTTCATATACTGCTCGAATTGCAATCCAGCTCGAAAAATAAAAAAGTGGTGCGAGTTTTAAATGGTCAAAACCAAGTGTCCACCCACCCACCCACCACAACCCTGAAACCTTTTGTGTTTATGATTAATTCCGCATATGTTTATAATTATTTCTGATTAATTCCGCATATGTGAAAAGGCAGGCAGTGAGATTCGCCGATATTTATATTGACCTTATGTATCTAAATCTTCATCATTGCACAGGTGATATTTGAAAATTTGGTAAAATCTCATGTTGAGATAAAATATGCCCTCGCACTATGCATTATTTGCATGCCGCTCACAAATCTACTTCCTTTTGATACGGAGCGTCAACAGGCTTCCAGGAGGGTTATATAAAAGTATTCAGGAGCTTCGACATAATATCTGAATATGTACTTCAAGGGGAGAATAAAATGCCTTTATATCGGCTTCATGCAAATTGAATAAGGATGACTCGGTCTTTTTTATGCAAAAGCAGGGACACAATGGACGCACATTTAGCACTGTGCGCTGTCAAATGTGTCCTTCTGTTCGCACTTGTCACCACTAAAAACTAGCCCAACAGACATGCCAAAGCACGTTAAACAATATGTTAAAGAGCTCTCCCCTGTAACAACGCACTGGAACCGTCTTAAAACATGCACCAAAAACCATTTAGTGTTACTCGAGTTGTCTAGCTGCCCTTCCGCAGTGTTGTACATTTTCCATGTTTCTGTCATTATTGTTAAATAAGTGAATACACGTGAAATTCTGCTGTCGTACCCCATCTTCGCCCCGCCAGCATAAAGCTAAGCAAACCAGCAGTACGCATACGGTACGCATAAATCAGTGGTTCGTCGCTCCTTTTTTTGTTTTTCTTTTGTAGTGAAAACTTTCCCCAACTCGAATATTTCTATGGCGCCGACCCAAACCCGGCGAAATGACGTGCATATTCGTATGCACCGTTGTCTGAAAACTGAGGCTCTCTCGACCGTTGGCTTGTTGATTAGGCATTTCTGATATGACAATCGGAACTTTTATCGAGGTGACATGAATATGTTCCCCGTTTCATTAATGCGTGGATGTATGTACATGACCGTCGTCGTTGGCCGTAGCAGCTGAAGTGTTGTGCTGCTGAGCATGTGAATGAATGTCGAAATCTCGGCATGGAAGAAGGAAGCGTTAACTTGGAAGGAAAAAAAAAAGCAATGTAATGCATTGGGCCCGCAGGGCCCGGGCCCATTCTGCACATAGGGCTAATGCTCCGATATAATCAAGCTTTTTTTTTTACAGCACTGCCTGTTCAACAAAAATTCTGTACAGTTGCCTGTATCAAGATGGGACTGGGCTGCATTTGCCAAGACTGAATTTTGCCATGCAGTTTATGAGAAAAAAATCAAACAGCACCATAATTAAAAGATAAGGTGAAAATGGCAGACTCATGTTGTGTCTGTTGCCTTCTCTCTACTTTATTCACAGTGCTGCACGATTCTCCCCTAAAAAAGGCATATTCAGTAGTACACCCTCAGTATGTGCTATGAAGCACATAGTGAAAAAGTGCTCCTCCCAATGAATGAGGGAGTTATTCGTTTCAGAGTATAGTATAGGAGCAGAAGCTCGACTTTGGTATGCATAGGTTCTATAACAAAAAAACAGGAAATGAGTATACCACTCTTGCAGGAAGTTGCAAACATGCCAGAAATTCTAAAGCTGGAGAAGAAAGGACAAATGATTCCGAAGGCCTAGCACTCATATGTAATAGGATATCATAATCTTGTGCGTTTAAAATAAAACAATATTCATATCCTGGTTTTTTCCGGCTTTGTTGATGCCAGAAGTGTATGCATTGCCCCTGTACTGCTGTAGCCATGTATAGAACACAGCAAAGAAAAACACTTTCTTCTCTACACTATAAGTTCGTCCCAGGAACGAGTATGGATTTAGTGACTAATTGCTATTTGGGTTATTTGGAGAAAAAACAGAGCATACATACTGAGTTTTTATACACGATGCAACCGTACCTGTGTTGATAGTCTTTCTTGGGGACCTTCGACGCAAAAGTTTTGGTCTGTATGTCTGTCTGTACATGTGTCTGTTTTTCCACTATTAACAGCATCGGGTATTTGAAACGGCCGACCCCATCCGCAGCGCCCACCTATGTTGCTCAAGGATTCAGCGTTCATACTTGTGCAATTGTCGATTAAAAAGCAATTATTGCGCGTGTCTGAGGCACCATAACAACACGTGTATATTCTGCATGTGCGCCTTCTACTAGAAACGGCATACAAACGTAACTTTAAGGACCATAGCACTTATCACGCTGCGCTGACCAACCAACGCTTGCACGGAAATGCGAGTGTTTCCAATGCTTTGCTAAAACCAGACGGTGGTGGCACCTACCCATCGCCTTGCGTTCTACACCTTATCACCTCTGAAGCGGGCGCGCACACCCGTCTCAGAGCCACGCGCTTTGTTTTGAAAAAAAAAAAAACTGCCAGATGGCGGTCATGTCTCCCGTGTGACGTGACATGATGCGCTCGTTCGCCTCCGCTGCACGCTCGGGGCACTCTAATGCAGCGCCTCCAGAATACAATTCGTCGATTTTCTTGAGAACATCAAATAAATGTTTTGTTCACCCTCTCCCTACGCAAGACTGCCGTCTTGCGACGACACTTGCAGATTAAATGCAGATACGGGGCCAGTTTTTTATTCTTCGACTTTACTTTTTTTACGTGTGGACTGGGTAGTTTGATTGCTATCGTACCGGCTAAGCGGCCAGGATATCTGTACGCCCTGCCCCGCCGCGGTGGTCTAGTGGCTAAGGTACTCGGCTGCTGACCCGGAGGTCGCGGGTTCGTATCCCGGCTGCATTTCCGATGGAGGCGGAAATGTTGTAGGCCCGTGTACTCAGATTTGGGTGCACGTTAAAGAACCCCAGGTGGTCGAAATTTTCGGAGCCCTCCACTACGGCATCTCTCATAATCAAATGGTGGTTTTGGGACGTTAAACCCCACATATCAATCAATCTGTACGCCCTCGCTCATTGTAATGTGCGTTGTGGTGATTAGTACGTGTGACAGTGAAACTAAAGTCAAACTGCGCGGGTTATCGAACACAAGAAGCTGACAGGAGGGGCGCAGACTAACAACTGAAATTAATGAAACCACCAGGCTTCCACTTCTGAGAACACCTGTGCGCGCAAACACTCGCTAAAGTATCACACACTGCATTCAAGGCCAAACCCCGAACGCAAGCTCATAGAATGCAAAACAGTGAGCCCTCCGTGATAACGCTCGTTTCTTCTAGCTAGCTGATTTGGCCACCTTTCTTATAAAACGGAGTGTCGTCATTAACACACATGACAATCGATACTGCACGAATTAGATCGTCAGATGAGAAGCGGTTCTGAATTTCTGGCGAATGATGTACATCTACATCAAACATGTGAGCTAGCAGAAGTGCGTAGGCGGGCTAGTTTGTTCATCATACTTGTACGCGCAATAGCTTGAGGTAATCACGTCATTTTGTTACGAATCTGGGCTCCAGAGATAATGTTGACTTTGATCTACTCGTTCGAGTCAAAATTGCGCCGTTGTGACTAGAGTTGAAAACGGTGGAAACTGAAAACATGTGCGTTACTTAGCCCTGAATTGTCAGGTTACAATCCGTGCATCTGTGTATTCAAACCTGTGAAAGCGCATGTAGATATCAATTTGATGCGCAAGAGATGTTAACTCTTATTAGTGTCCTTGCTATGAGCAACCCAAGAGGTCCAATGCCTTTCGCTGCGTATATAGCTAGACTTTCGATATGCACACCTTCGATCAATGATCGTGCAGCAAGGATGTTTATTCTGTGTGGGTGTATGTGCTTGTTCTCTTCTGTCTGCATTCAATCGTGCTGTTCAAACTTATAGTGGGAGCTTGCTCAAGAAGCTCCTACAAGTTGTATACACCAGGGAGCGCCGCTTTCGGTATGCTCACAAAAATTATGCTTTTCCGCATATCAAATTTGCTTCACCGTGTGACAAATTCATCCTGTAGTGAAGCCAAACAAATGCTACGTTGTCTTCGAACGCATGTACGATCGGCCCTTCCCCATGTGTGGATATGTATATGTGTAATGACCTAGGTGGTATTATATGATTGTGACAACATCTGTCACTCCAGCTCCGTCTTCTATCTCGATAAGGGAAGTTTATTTTGAATTAAGAGATATTTTGCGTTTGCACCTTTCAGCGCCTAAATAATGACTGCTGTTTTATTAATTTATATGTACACCTATAACCAAGCAGGGCTCGACAGTGAGTAGACAACGTTGTAATGAATTCAATTGACTAAGAAGGAAAAATTGACTTAATGATTGTCACGCACTTCGGGTGAGGCCCCACCGATCCAACATCGACGTGCGGCAGACTCGCAGGCTTCCACTTTACGCTTCGGCCTGCGACGCCTGAAAGGCCTCGAAGTGGCACATTTCGAATTTATTTGCGGGTTGGCCGACCCGTGCGGGGTTGCACGTGTGGTGATGTGTGGGCCTGACCGACGCACTCATAGAGCAGACACCGAGTTTGATTACACATAAACACGCATTTAATTAAAACAAGGGCAAAGGCAGGACAATAACAGAGAGGAATAACACTGATGCGCGATGGAAAGAACAGCAACATAACAAAATGGGCCAAAAACACTACAAAAGATACAGGCTGACGACAAATATGCGGAACATTAATAAAATAACAACAAGATGGAAACCAAAGGAAAGGGATACAAGAAAATAATTACAGAATGATCATTGGTCGCGCTTTTGAATTTCTATGTGCGTCGCAGCGCACCCACTACACATATTAAAAAAAAAGGCTGGTTAAAACAATTTAGCAGTTTAAAAAAAGTCACAATAAAAAGTTCCATACGGACCAGGCCAGCTCTTGGTGCACGTAGGGGAGTTGACGGGTGCCGCTGAAGGTCTCGCCGGCTTGGTAGACGACGAGGGTGCCCGGAATTGCAGCCGTCTCAATACGTTGCACGGGTCACTCCATGCTCGCCGCCTACGCGAGACTCGCGACACCGACGACCGCACTTGTTGCTGGCTGTACGTCAACTCCCTATTCCGATGCAGTCCAAACCTCTTCAGGGGCGTACACGTGTTCCCGTCACATCTGGGAGTAATTCTCCTTGTTGAGACCGCCGGTTCCCCTTCCGGTCAGGGGCAGGGAAGACGAGCCGGCGCCACGCTGGGTCGTTATAGTCGCCGGATGTCGTCTCCCAACACAAAAACGCCCTTCCTTGGAAGATGGGGCCCGCGGATGCTCCGAAAATTGGAGTCGTTTGTGACAATGATCTGTCTATCTCCTGAGCCGCCTGCGTCTGGTTGCTCTCGTGATCACTCGGGACGGTAAGATGGTTTGACGAATATGATTGCCCGCCAGGTCGTGAATAATGCCGCAATCCCATCGCGTATGTCATCAA